CACAAGGTCAGGAGTTCGAGACCAGCCTGACCAACATGGTGAAACCCCATCTCTACTAAAAATACAAAAAAATTAGCCAGTGGTGGTGGCATACACCTGTAATCCCAGCTATTCAGGAGGCTGAGGCAGGAGAATCGCCTGAACTGGGAGCGGGAGGTTGCAGTGAGCCAAGATTACACCACTGCACTCCAGCCTGAGCAACAGAGCGAGACTTTGTCTCAAAAAAAAAAAAAAAAAAAAATTGGGCACGGTGGCTTATGCCTGTAATCCCAGCACTTTGGGAGGGGGCGGATCACGAGGTCAGGAGATTGAGACCATCCTGGCTAACATGGTGAAACCCCGTCTCTACTAAAAATACAAAAAATTAGCCGGGTGTGGTGGCGTCCACCTGTAGTCCCAGCTACCCAGGAGGCTGAGGCAGGAGAATGGCATGAACCCAGGAGGCGGAGCTTGCAGTGAGCCAAGATCGCGCCATTGCACTCCAGCCTGGGTGACAGGGCGAGATTTCGTCTCAAAAAAAAAAAAAATACAGAGATAGTGAGGATGATCGCAAAGAATGCATTAAGGATAATATCTCTCCGTGTAGAAGTTGAAGAATTTGATAATCTCAGTAGCAGTGAAATCAGCAAAGAAGTATTTGAAAGATTTCACTAACACCATGAACGCATTGGATTCGTTTCTTTTCTTCACTGGGGTTCCCTTCTTTCTTTCCCCTACAAACAGGGAAGAGGGTGGGTGTCATTGACATTATGGATGAGTTTTTATTTTGTTTCTCCTCCTTCCTGACCCCTCCCCTCCACCCCATCTGAAGAGTGGGGCCATCATGATGTCACATTAAGCTAAGGGTATCTGTAAGGATAAAAGGCTGGGTACAAGATCATGATTTATAATAGAAACACTTCTCCATGACCAGCATATTGTAAGCTCCACTTGATCAAGTTAATGTCATGGCAAGTTAAGTGTGTAATTTATTTCTTTGGGTGAAACTAGTTCTACAATAACGGTACGTTTTATGTACAATCTGTCAGCAGGCACTGGGTTAATAAAAAGACCATATCACCAAGACATTTATAGAACCAGATCCAGTACATCTTAGTAATTGATTCTTCCTTTGGTGATTTATTATTATTGTAAAGGCATATGGACTGATACTGGGTGTTCAGGACTTCAAAAATATCAGAATGAAAAGTAAAAAGATTCAATCTAGCATCTGGACATTATGGCCTACCATGCACCAGGCATTATCTGGCTTTTTCTAAATAGTATCAGCATGTTCCCAAGTCTCTGGAGGACAGAACACCCCAGCTGAAACCATCACTTGTCAGTCCTGAATTTAGGGTATGTAGACATAGCTTAATACCATAACTCAGAAAGAAGCGGGGAAGCCATTGGCAAATAGGATAAATCCTTGTTAAGTTAGAGCTAATTAGACAGCGTATATAAGACTTTCAGTGGTTTAAATTGAATTCCCTCTGAATTGTGAGGATCTTATTCATGAATAAGAGTCTGATTAGCTTTAGTAGCTTTTCCAAAGTATGTGTTCAGGAAAATAAGACCTTCCCTCAGAGGCTGAGTCTAGCAACTCAGTCTCATAAAGCGATATGTTTATTAGTTTGTAATGTAAGTCTATAAACTATAGTGGATTTTTTGTTTTTGAAACAGGGTCTCACTCTATCGCCCAGGTTGGAGTGTGGTAGTGCGATCACAGCTCACTGCAGCCTCGACCTCCTGGGCTCAGGTAATCCTCCTACCCAGCCTCCTGAGTAGCTGGGATTACAGGCACATGCCACCACGTCTGTCTAATTTTTTTTATTTTTAGTACAGATGGGGTTTCGCCATGTTGCCCAGGCTGGTCTCAAACTCCTGGGCTCAAGTGATCTGCTTGCCTAGACCTCCCGAAGTGCTGGCATTTCAGGTGTGAGCCAGCACTCTTGAACTACAATGTTTTTATTAGTGACTGAATTTTTCTTACAAGAGTCCATTTTATGTCAGATGACAATATTTTATATGGAATAAAATATCCTTTTCTTTTTTAAAAATTGTATCATTTAGGCCTTCCACAAAGTCAGACTACCCATCCACAGCACACACACACTCATTCTCAAGTAATGCAATTGAACTGCCCTATCATCACTATGCAAAGCTACGTAAAATAACATAAGTGCGTTAGGATGTATTTCACCCAGCTTTTGTCTATAGGAAAATCAGAGAAAAAATGAAATGGGTGTCTATCCCTAATTCCTAACAGTAAATGTCCTTGCCTTTGGACCTTTCTGTGTTCTTGGACAGAAAGAGAGAGATCAAGGTGAAAAATATCAAGGAGTAAGAACAGACAAGGCTAAGATGAAAGAAGTTTGCCAACCACCTGCTAGATGGGAAAATCCTTACAGTTCATGAGCATCTGAATTGCCCAAGATTTTCTTATAGAGAGACATAAGTTATACATAGAAGATGAATTGCCTGAGCCTCTGATTCACAAACTCTCTAAGACCGCCTAATGTTATTTTTAAAAATGTATGAATACATACATCTTCATTTTTACTTTATAATCTGAGCTAGGGAAAATTTACTACAGCAGTATCATCCAGGCCTCATTACCTCTTGGTTAAGTAGCTAACATTTGTAAAGTGCTTTGAAGATGAAAAGCATCATATAAATACTAAGAATTATTAAATAATATGAGGGAGAAATCATAAAATAGCTACATTGTTAACATTAATTTGTATTTTATCTGATTATCTTCTCCCTAGCATTTGACATTTAGGGCTGGACTATATATAAAGGCCGAGGAAGTTACCATGTCTATTACAGCTGTACTCAGGATTTTAACTAGCTCCAAATTAATACTTGCCAAAAAACAAGTTTCAAGCAGAAACAAATCAACTGTCCAGAGATCACCACTTACTGATTAAAGTGTTAACTAGTTAAGCAAACAATTTCACCCCCCCCACCCACAGTTAAAAGGAAAGGTATATTAATCCAGAGACTATTAATAAACATTTCTACTTCAAAAAAACGCAAAATATACTCATGAATAGTGAGCTCAGCCAGACCATTTTGGTGTGAAACATGTGATTCCACTTTGCACCCACTGTACATTTGCAGATCCTGCTGCTGAGTAGCTCAGGGCAGTATATTATGCAGTGTTGACTGTTCCCAACATTTTGCTGTCATCAAAGTGAGTTAAACAAACTTTTCTGAAGCTGCAGTTCCACTCCCTGTCATCTCACCTCTCCCTTCCCCTAATCCCAAATGGACAGAAGGACAGGCAAACCTGCCTTAGAAAGTCTTTGGCAGCCTGCCAGGGACTGACACAAGGGGGAAAAAGCTATAGTAAAATATTATTTAAATATATGTATCATGAAAGCTTTCAATAAAACAGGAAATAATAGATCAAGTACATTCAAAGTATTTGCAAACTGCTTAATTGAGTAAGGGCAAGTCAAACTCTTCTGATCACAGCAACTTCCTTATTGTAAAGCCCACTTCAGTGATACTGAAGTTAATCCCAAGTCCTGTTACAGGAAACGCATCCTTATTAAAGTAACATTAAGTGCTCCTTTTTTATTGATCTTTCCCTTCAGCTTAATGATAGAAACTTACTGATGTTTTAATAATAACCTCACAAGCTTTATCTCATTTTACTTTGCCTTGGTACTAAAAGATGCAGTGGAAACTAACTTAGCATAAACATTTTGCAGATGTCTTTAAAGGCCAGAGGGAGGTGAAAAAAAAAAGATTCAATTGAGCTGTGTGTTAACAAAGATGGCTGAAAAACTAAAAGATAAAAGGGAGGCTCCAGTGTGAACATCAAAGAATTGTTAATGACAAGAAATACCATTAGGGTTAGCATCTCTTTTGTTTCAACCCTTTCACACCTGCAGTGTGTGGTGAGCTAAGCCTTTGTTCCAAAATCTGAATTACCTCCATTAGCATTTATAGAAAAATGGTTGCAAAACAACAGAAATGTACTTTTGGTTCTCCCCCTTTGCTTGAAAAGTCAGAAATTAGCTAGGTATATGTGGGTTTCCTCGTAGTTACTGGGTGTAACTACAGAGACTATAGAGGTGGAAGGTAATAGGTTGCAAATGAGTTTGGTTGAAATGCGAGAATAGCTTTGTAACCGAAAAGGAGAGGTAATACAAGCAATGTGGAGAAGCTCACATAAGAAGCTCAGACATTAGCAATAGCAAAATCAGAGCGTGAAATTCAGATTAGCCCTCCCCAGGCTGTGAGAGGAAGGGGGTATTGCAAGACTTGGCATGGCTAAAGGTGTAACCTGTTTTATTTGGCCCCTGAAAGATTTTAACAGATGGTGGGACCAGCTGTCTTTTTCAGCCATTTAATAAACTCTTCGGTGGTAACAGTTTGGAAAGTGGGGGTTTTTCGTTTTAGGCCAGAGGAGAAAATAAAGAAATCTGTCCCAAATTGTCTTTGCCAAGTAGTAAAGCCTGGAAACATTTTGAAAAGTTAAAGGCAAAAGAAATCTAACAGACTATACAGTTGTCATCATATTTTTTAAGAGAGCAGCAAGAAAAACAAATCTGCCAAATAAGATGACTAACTACCGGCCAAATGCATTTTGTATCAGTCTTCTAATCTGGGTTTTAAATTTTGGTCTTCTAAAAAGAGATGCCTGGTTATCCTGTTTAAGGCTTATTGGCAAATTAACAGCACTGTAAGGCAACTATCCGCAGCAGCACAAAAAGAAGCAAACTAAACATTTATTAGAAGTTAGTACTCATAAGATAAATACTTATTCATAATGAAGGGGTAAATTCCCTCCAATTTACATAATTAGTCTAAAATGGCATAGAACCCTCCTAATCATGTCATGTAAATTACAGAATCCAGGCCAGACCTCAGGGAATGTGGAAAATGCTCATGTCAACTTATTTTCAGAACACGATCTAAGAGATTTTGCAATTTTGTAAAATTGGGCATTTTTTCCCCACCAATAAAATGGCAACTGTCAATTATGAGAGAAAGAGTTTACTTACAAAGATTCTCTCCAATGGCTACAAACACAACTCCTCTTTTTGCAAATGTTCATCATTCCTGGCTGAGCAACAGCTACTTCCATGTGACAAATCTTTGTTCTGCCCACAGACCTATTATGGATACCAGATCTATGTTGTCCCAAGTAAACTGCAACAGTAAAATGCAAACTCTTTTTAGGAGAGATTCAGACACCTTTTCAGACACTTCAGCCATTTGCAGCTTTAAATATGTGTAGTAAATCTCTTTTACTTAGATTCCAGCTTGCTTCCTTTCTAGACTGCTAGTGATGCTTGCTTCTTAAACAATTAGTAAAGTGTAGCTGGTTGAGAAAAGCATAGTGAATAATCCTACCTGGAATAAGTTATACAGTCGTCAAGCTAGTTACCAGAATTCACAGAATGCCATAAAATTCCCCGATTGCCATGATTTGTGAAATGTCTTAGACAAATTGCAGTTCTTTTAGGAACACTTTCTCTAGTCTGTAACACCAGCTACCATTCATTCAACACATTCTTACTGAGCACTTACCATATTTTGAGCACTGGGTCAGCAGCTGAAATATCACGGTGACCAAGAAACAAGATCCCTGCTCTCTTAGAGCTAACACGGCCTCACATCTTCACTGGATAAGGAATGAGAGCAAAGAGAAAGGCCATAAACATAAAGCACTTCACAGCACAATGTTTAGGATCAAATCTATGCAACTTCAAAACTATCTAAATGACACAGATGAGTTTGACAACTAAATGTGGGGGACGGGGACTTGTCCTCCACTTTAGGAGCAATGGAAGCGATTGCAAGTTCATCTTAGCAACCCTTAGCAAAGCACCTGGCTTTTTCATTGTAACATTTTTGTTTTCCAGTCACTGGTTTCAAATAGACATCACAAGCCTCTCACTAGAAAGTATGATCATCTAGAAATTATATAAATCTAAAATTTGTATGTATTTCCTTACATATTACAAAGTGCTTTACTAAATTTTGGGAATAGTTTCAAGTGGGAAAAATAAAGACATGGAGCCTTACTTTATAGAAATAGAAGCATTAGCCAGGCATGGTGGTGTGTGCCTGTAATCCCAGCCACCAGGGAGGCTGAGACAGAAGGATCATTTGAACCTGGAGGCGGAGGTTGCAGTGAGCCAAGATCGTGCCACTGCACTCCAGCCTGGACAACAGAGCGAGACTTCATCTAAAAAAAAAAAAGAGAAAGAAAGAAAGAGAAGCATTAACACTAAATGAAAACCATGTTGATCTTGTGGCTAGAAGGCAGATACTTGCAACTACTTCTAGTCCCGACCTCCAGAACTTCAACACCTTTATGTCTGTATGAACCACTGCAAGTACAAAGTCCTTTAAAGACTGACAGCATAGTGGCCGGGTGCAGTGGCTCACGCCTGTAATCCCAACACTTTGGGAGGCTGAGGCAGGCAGATCATGAGGTCAGGAGATCGAGACCATCCTGGCTAACACGGTGAAACCCCGTCTCTACTAAAAATACAAAAAATTAGCCGGGCATGGTGGCAGGCACCTGTAGTCCCAGCTACTCAGGAGGCTGAGGCAGGAGAATGGCGTGAACCTGAGAAGCGGAACTTCCAGTGAGCCGAGATCGGGCCACTGCACTCCAGCCTAGGTGACAGAGTGAGACTCTGTCTCAAAAAAAAAAAAAAAAATACTGACAGTATGGCCAGGTGTGGTAGCTTATGTCTGTAATCCCAACACTTTGGGAGGCTGAGGTGGGCAGATCACTTGAGGTCAGGAGTTCAAGACCAGCCTAGGCAAAATCGTGAAACCCCATCTCTACTAAAAACACAAAAATTAGCCAGGCATAGTGGTATGCGCCTGTAATCCCAGCTACTCCGGAGGCTGAGGCAGGAAAATCGCTTGAACCCAGCAGGTGGAGGTTGCAGTGAGCTGAGATCACACCACTGCACCACAGCCTGGGTAACAGAGTGAAACTCCATCTATATATATATATGTTAAATAAATAAATACTGACAGCAATTCCACCAGATTTTCCAGAATGTAGAAATGTAGTTCACCCCGAACACAAGAGAAAAATTAGGAAATTCATGTGAACTCAACTAAACGTGTGCTGGAAATTTTATTTGTTTCCCTGTAGGGTATTATACTTTTATTTTTCTTTCAATATCGTCAATCAACAGGTCATCTGGGCTTAGTGAACGTGGGGTTTAGGACTAGTTGCCAGCATTGATGTTTTCAGGTCAACAAAGTTAGGATCCCAGTCTGTCTGCAAGGCAAGTGCTCCAGAAGTTGCTGCCTTGGCCAAGGGTTTAGATACCCATGCATGGGACACTGTCTGCTGTGACTAGCCATGTCACCTTTACAGTGCCAGGCAGGTCACCAGCAGTGATCATGGCCCAAGCAGTGACTAGTAGAGTAGCCCATAGAAAAGCAGCAACCCCTGGCCAGGCACGGTGGCTCACGCCTGTAATCCCAGCACTTTGGGAGTCAAAGACAGGTAGATCACCTGAGGTCGAGAGTTCAAGACCAACCTGGCCAACATGGAGAAACCCCATACCTACTGAAAATACAAAATTAGCCTGGTGTGGTGGCAAATGCCTGTAATCCTAGCTACTTGGGAGGCTGAGGCAGGAAAATCACTTGAACCCTGGAGAAGGCAAAGGTTGCAGTGAGCCGAGACCGCGCCATTGCACTCCAACCTGGGCAATGAGAGCAAAACTCTGTCTCAAAAAAAAAAAAGAAAGAAAGAAAGAAAACAAAACAAAAGCAGCAACCCCTAAGAATAATCTCAGTGACACCTAAGTAGCAATCTGATAAAAGACTAAGTTCAAATATTTATCCTGTCCCTAATGCCTCGCATAAATAAATGCTTTATTTTACATCAATTTTTTTTTACTAAAAAGTCTCTTCTGAGATGGTAAACTGTAACATTCCTAGCAAAGACAAAAGCAATATTTTACTCTAATGGAAAGCAGGAATGATGAAATAATAAAGCCCATTAAAAGATGGTAAATGAATATTGGCCTATAAATTTCCTTAGGATTGTTGAAAAATATCATTAATTTCAGAGCTCTCTAAATATCCAGGAAACTGAAATTTAGAAAATAGTGCATGAACCCTTTATATTTATATTAGGCATTTTGTAATAGGTTAAATTCTTTTCTTAAATTGTATAATCAGTAACAGTTAAATTCTTAACATTTAAAGGAACAGTTTAATAAATTAGTAGCACATGTGAAAGTTAAATTGTTTCCAGTTTCATTGCTATAATTACAAGAATTCAAAAGGGATTGAGTACTTGATAAAATAACTCTTAATTTCACTAACATTGTTCAAAACACATTTATTGAATATTTGCTGTGTGCCAGATACCATTTATTTGGTACAAAGAGCCCCAGAAAATACTAAAGGCAACAGGGAAGGAAAAAAGAAAAAAGGAGGGGGGAAAATCAAGAAAGAAAGAGGATATTTACTACTCAGTGTTAAAATATACTATACAATTACAAAAATAAGAGCATTTTGCTGGCACCAGAATAGACAGAGAAATAGAACAGCAAAGATAAGAAATAAACACAAGTATATCTACATATTTCTTATGATACAAGTGACATTTCAAATCATTCCAGAAATAATTCAATACACAGCATTGAAAAAATTAAACTTTCAAAAAAAATACAGTTCAGTCCTTGTCAAAAACTGTGAGGGCCTCGGGCTTTTTACCTACTTGCAAACTACCAAGTTAGCCTGCTGTGGTTTCACAGGTATTGGCAGAAGGTACAAGACTTTTGGGTCAGAGACAAAATGACAGTAGCAGCAGCCTGGAGGTCAACTTTTGCACCGGCTCCCTGAGCCCCCATTTCCCACAGGGTGATGTGAAGAGGGCCAGATGCTGCCTGCAGGCAGCGGGGTGGATTACCGGAGAGGAATCCCAAGCTGAAGGAGCTGTGCTCTTTTGTAATGGGCCGTATGCCTGCTTGATCTTTGCCCCTGATCTTTATTACATGCATAAGCCACCATCCTGCTCTCTGCTCCTAAGAGGACACCACCTCTGTTTTCCAAGGCTGTTCACTATACACACTCTGAAAAGGTAGTTGAGGACAAAGCAGTGCCTTTGCTCAGAAAACATGCAGCAACATGAGAGACGTGGAGAACTGTCCCCCACAATGGCCATTAACTAGTGCTTTTTATAAAAGAATTCTAGATAAAGAAAGAGTTGAATATAAAAAGAACAGGGTGCATGAGCCTGTAATCCCAGATATTTAGGAGGCTGAGACAGGAGAATTGCTAGAGTTCAGGAATTCAAGACCTGCCTGGGCAACATAGTGAAACCCTGAGAAAGAAAAGAGAAGAGAAGAGAAGAGAAGAGAAGAGAAGAGAGAAGAGAGAAGAGAGAAGAGAGAAGAGAGAAGAGAGAAGAGAGAAGAGAGAGGAGAGTAGGGAAGGGGAGGGGAGGGGAGGGGGGCAATAGAAAAACTAGGAGAAAATACATGTGAACATATCCATGCTTCTCAGGCAAGGAGACCTTTCTAAGCATAACATCAAAGACAACTTAAAGGAAAAATCATAATGTATTTTACTACACATAAATTTAAAACCTCCTCATGTCAAATACACCATAAAATAAACTGCACTGAGGGAATGGAGTTATTGTTTAACGTGTACTGAGTTTCGGTTTGGAAAGATGAAAAAGTTTTGGAAATGGGTATCAATGATGATTTCCCGACAATGTTAATATATTTAATGTCACTGAATTGTACACTTAAAAATGTTTAAAATGATAAATGTTATATATATTTTACAATAAAAATGTTTTAAAATATTAAATTTCACCAATAAGTTGGAAAGAAAATTTGTTGCATATACGATAAAGACTAATATCCTTCCTATTTCTTTATTCAATGAATATGTATTGACTGCTATGATGCATTAGGAATATGATGGAAATCAAGACACCATGGTCTTGCCTTCAAGGACAATAATGAGCTTCTACAAACTATTAAGAACAAGAAAAACATCCCAATAAAAAAATAAAGAAGAGAGGCATGCACAAGTAGTTCACAAAATAATACAAATGGATACATATGAAAAAGTGTTCAGGCCAGGCACGGTGGCTCACACCTGTAATCCCAGCTACTTGGGAGGCTGAGTGAGGCAGGAGAATCGCTTGAGCCTGGGAGACGGAGGTTGCAGTGAGCCAAGATGGCGCCACTGCACTCCCGCCTGAGCAACAGGAGTCAAACCCTGTCTCAAAAAAAAGGAAGAGCCAGGCACGGTGGCTCATGCCTGTAATCCAAGCACCTTGGGAGGCTGAGGCGGGTGGATCACGAGGTCAGGAGTTCAAGACCAGCCTGGGCAATATGGTGAAACCCCACCTCCGCTAAAAATACAAAAATTAGCCAGGCATGGTGGCAGGTGCCTGTAGTCCCAGCTGCTTGGGAGGCTGAGACAGAAGAATCGCTTGAACCCGGGAGGCGGAGGTTGCAGTAAGCCGAGATTGCAACACTACCTCCAGCCTGGGCGATAGAGTAAGACTCCATCTCAAAAAAAAAAACAAAGAAAAGAAAAACTGTTCAACCTCACTAGTAATAAAATAGAAATTACGAACAAAATACCATTTTGCTTTCAGAATAGCAGTTTTTTCCTTAAAGTGCTCAGTGTTGGTGAGGATACTGGGAAATGGGTACTACCACAGGTCAGCTGAAGTTCATGAATCAGCATTAACTTCCTGGCCTGCACCCAGAGCGAATACATCAGAAACCTGAAAACCATGCTTACTTCTTGCCCAGCTATTCTCCTGATAGGAAGGCATCCTGGGAGAATGGTCTGAGAATACATACAAAATGTTCTTTGCAGCACTGTATATAATAGCAAAAAAAAAAAAAAAAAAAACACTGGAAACAATTTAAATATTCAAAAGTAGGGCATTAATTAGGTAATTATGTTGCCACCATTCAATGGAATAATACTCTTTAAAATGGCTCAAAAAGGTAGAAAAAGAAGCCTGGCTATTAAAAAATACGAAACGACACTATTTTTATTTCTCAAATAAGCCTAAGTAGCCATGAAAATATTAGAGACTTA